AGTTTTTGTATCTTCTGGAAGAGATAACTCTGGATAGATCTCAGTTACATACCATTTAAATGATTTACATTGTAGTTTTTCTCGAAGTAATTTACGTGATGTAATATCACCGTAATTACCCTAAACAAATAATAAATTATTAGCACTTCATATATACATATATATCGAATAAATTTAAAAACCATACCAAATTATTATTTATTCTTTGATAATAATATTTCTAAATGGAAATAAAATAATAGTATTCTTCTAAAAATTAACTTATGTTGTTTTAGTTTATTCAATACTTTGTATTCATCAAGCCAAACTTCAGCAAGTCGAACAGAATTTTTGCGAACAACATTTACCTCATCTGACCATTTATATGGAGATCGTTTTCGAAATATATGACCAACATGAGAACAAGGAGAAATCACCAGAGTGCCTACATATAACAATTAATTAAAATAAATAAGTATAGTTATACTTACCACCACACATCCATATGCGAAAAGATAGTTCTAAATTTTCACCACCCCAAATATCCATTCCAGCATCATCTGTAATTAAAATAGCTCACAGTTAGTTTTTTTTTTGTATTGAAGAATACAGAAATAGATTTCTGGTTCTCGATGGGATCATTTTTTGGACTAAAAAAACTTAACCATAATAAATAATCAAACTCGAAAACTAAAAGACAAGAATTGATTTAGCTGATAGTGATGATTTGATCACGCTCACGATAATAAGGAGATGTCATTTTGACTGAAAACTAACATTTTTTAAAAGTTTAGATATATTCATGTGCTCAGTTGCAAAAAAAAATGAAACAGAAGAATCGCGTTCAGCGACCAATTTTCGAACAGTTCGATTGACATGTATTAGAATGTGCCCTCGTAAGAGTGGCTAGATAAATATAGTTTTGTTTCAGTATGAAAAGAAATTTGCTACGAAAAATCCATTAACAAGTGATGACAACAAATGGGCTATGTACATATAATACAACGGTAACCATAGGTTTTGTATAAACTTTTGATTTCATAACGAGATACGTATAGATTTGTATAGAAACTCTTCTTGTACAATCATAGACATATTTCGTCATCAAGTCAAAAACTTATAGCTGCCTTTAGTGGTTTAAATTTTTCATACAGTTTGTTAAAAGTATCTTCTATCTAATGTAGTTATTTCGATGCTTAAACGCATAGTGTTCTCATTCAAACGCCAAAGATTAAAAAATCCGTTTATTTACAAGAAATTTTCAGAAACTCTCATTTACTTACAAAATATTTTTCAATTCATGATATTTCATGCATGAATATGTCAACTATTTGAAATATCTATAATTTTTGAACATAATTATAAGACAATAACATATGCAGGAACATACAATCTTCTAACTATTTGAGGGAAGAAGATGTGAGACCCTACATGACTCTTATCCTTGTCAATAGTTGCATGCAAAATTCTCACATTTTTATGCAAGATACATCATTCACATGTAAATATCGAAGTGTGATTGACATGTACCTACAAGACGGCTAGAGTTTCATTTAATTCTGCATGTCAATGTAAAAGATTTGTATTTACGAAAACTATTAACAAACTCATTCTGTACTGGCATGATTAGTATTGATGTTGATAGATGTCTAACAATTATTAAATAATCATTATATCTTTCAGTTATGATTGCACTTCTACTGCAAAGACATGGTCAAATCGTGAAAAAGTTCGTCTTATTGAGTAAAGTATATGTATTTTAATTTTATCTCTAAAAAAAAACTTCCTGAGTACTCATATATCTGTGCTACATGCGGTTCATTTTTAACTATTCAAAAAATTGTCTTGCACGTATTGTATACAGTCAGAAAATTAAGCATGCACTTATGTAAAATTGCATGCATGTAAAAAGGAATATAGTTGTATTATGCAACGCTTTGTCATACACGTCATACTATTAGGATACCTTTATGTACATGTATTTCATAAGCTTTTGCGTTTGACTATGTTATGCGTTAGAGCTTATATATATCTAACAGTTAGATTATTACATAAAAATGAACATATCCAAGTCACACCCTTTTGAAAGCTGTAAACCCATTGGTTTTAATGATCTCAATATTTTTTAGAAATCGGAACCGCTAACAAT